TCATCCTTTCTAAAATTTTCCAAATGCCTGGGCATTAAGAAGGGAAAAGGTTTAGAACTGGATATGACTAAAAGGATTAAACAATTGTCGAGGACAATCTAAGGTTTACCAAAGATTGGTTGCTCAAGGACAGTTGGAAGTATAGTGATAATTCTGGAAGGACCATATTGACATAATCTGTAAGGAGGCAACTCTTGTTCAGAAGTGATAGTCAAAATGAATCTGGAAATGTTTCAAAGTTAGAATTTTCAATCTGTGTAAGATTAAGGAAACTTAATGCAAGAAGGATGTTTCCAAGGAGTTGATCTCCTTTGGAATACTCTGTAATGATTGTTGCCAAGTCTTTGTGAATTTGTGCATAATCATTACAAGAGGATCAATGCATATAAGTTTAGAATCTAACAGATTTCAGTAAATGACATGAATTTGGAATTCTTGCATTTGCAGTAAGGATTTGGGAGTGTGAAAAGAGAATCATTGAAGTTATGTTCAATTGATCTAGTTCACAAAGTAAAGATCATAGACAAACATAGTATGCATACTTGGTGTATGGCATGACTAGTGTTTAGAAAACATAGTGTACATGCTTGGAGCATGGGACAACTATTGTTTTAAATTCAAGAATAATGTTGATAGCTGAAACAGTATACAATGAATAATGTGTAATCATATGGTGATAAATAAAAGTGTTTTATTTATATTCATAAGTTTGAGACCATATTGGATTCAATTATTATTGTGTTTCACTTTGCATGTTTTGACTTCCCGAATAAACTAGGTTATTCTTCCGGAATGACTAAGTTATTCAAACCATCCACAGTCGGTCATATGTTGGAAGTAGATATGAATTAAGACTGTCATGGGTTGGCTTGTAGAGGTCTAAGGTGTTGGACAAAGGCTACAACACTCATGAGTGCTCATAAGTTCTGAGTATTGGATTCAACCCGCGCTCATTGGAATCACTTCATGGATTTTATCACGAGTGATCATGAGACGATAATATCTTATATTCTTCAAACCTAGAGATATGAGTTGTTACTATGAGTTGGTTGTACATTGATTGCACGAAACGCATTGGTAACTCGATGTTATAAAACGTGCCTTTGTGTATGATTCAACAAGTAGTAGAACAAGCCATATGAGTCGAAGTTTATCCATTCCTTTTACCTTCGGGATAAAAGCGATATCTGTGGGCCCCTCGATGATTTGATGATGACAAATGGAAGTGCTCGGCCGGGCCAGGACTGATTTGATTTGTTCAATTAGTCAGTCGTCATAAATCGGAAATCGGAAACAACAAATGGACAGAGAGAATGATTATAATCCATGTCTCAGTCCATATGATATCTAGAATGGAGGAATATATGATCCCTTATCTAATGGACAAGTCATTGACAAGATCAGAGTTCATCTACAAGGTCAGAGTTCGACAGAAGCTTTTGAGAGCTACGATTGCCAGTTGGTTCCTGAAGTCATACGCAATAATAGTTTTAGACTTATCCAAGTGGGAGACTGTTGGATTAATGTCTAAGTCCATAACTATAATTGGTAAGACTTGACCCGACCCGGCATGGTCCATTTGGGTTGCATACATCATGCACTTGGATAGACTAAATGAGAGAAATAAGACACTTATGGTTATTAATATATTATAAGTTCTAGTATATTAATAATAAGAATAATAAGATTATTTAATTAGTATTGATCAAGAATTAATCTAGGATTAATTAAGTGATCAAAAGAAGACTAATTAAATATATGGGTTGATTGTGTAAATCATCCATACTTGTATAGTGGGCTAATGCTCCATGGATTATCTAGTTGGGCCAAAACCCATATGATGCTCCATGGATGCTCCATGGTGTATTTGAACCCATGGATCCAAGGAAATGGAAAGTCATGACAATTAGAGTTTACCCTAATTGTAACACTATATATAGATATTATTCTTGACCAAAATCGGCCACTAGTGAGAATAAGAAAGGGCTAGCCGATTTCATGAAGTGTAGAATTCTCTCTAAGTTATTCTAAGTGTTTTGATGATTGTGAACCATTTGAGGTGTCACACTTGGGGCACTAGGCACTCAAACTTCATGAAGACATTCTACATCAAAGAGGTATGTATTCTATCTTGGTATATTGATAGTATTTGTATGCTAGATTAGGATAATACCTTGGATGTTCATATTAGCATGTATAATAGAGAAAACATAGATCCAAGGTATTTAGGGTTGCATGTACACTTAGGAGTGTTAGAATGCTCATAGCCCAACAAAAGAAACTACCTATGATTTGGAAAGATGAAAGGAAATGGTTTCTAGCTCCCAAAATAGCCTCTTGCAGGTCTCTAATGGTGAGAAATCGTCAATGAGCCTCTAGATCTGATCCCCCAGATTTGTGGTGAGCCAAATGACCAAAATGCACAAACTGGGCAGTTGCGCGGGTACCTGCGCAGCGAAAATTCCACCTACGCAAATGTTGTTGTAATGTTATTGGTCCTTCATTACTCCACTCCACCCTTCCACTTCCAAAGATGCCTTTGGTCCCCTCCCCCCTTGTCCATGTAATTTGAACCCACCAATCATCATTTAGCTACCAAATGGATGCTCCAAACCCAAAATTAGAAATTTATGATCCATCTTCATAAGCCCAAATAATCCAAGCCATCAACTTTAAAAGCCCAATTCTTCTTCTTTGATTCCGCCAAGCCCAACATTGCCTCGGGAGCCCACTAAGCCGTCTTTACTCTAATCCACAATCACAAAAAGCTCCAAAACCCTACAAAATTCCTCATGCAACATAACAAGTCCCCGATACGATCCATGATAAAGAAATTAATTAAAATACAATGCAATACTAATAAAAAGAGCTAAAAATCTAAAATAAACTAATAAAAATAAGGAAATAAAATAAGCTATCAAATCATCCTAAGCTTAAACCTAACTTCTCCTCAAGTTAGAACAAGACTAAAATAAGTTCAGGATGAACTAAAATAGAAAACGAAAGATAGCATAGAACTTGGTCAACATCAGTTAACATGGTCCGAATTAGTCCTTCAATGGACCCTACGCATCTTCAAAATGTTCCCCGCTTTAGAACCATAAACCACATTCTTAACCACTTGATGGGCGAATAGATCACGGCTGGATGCGGTCGCGGTGTGCAAGACAAAGGAAACAGAGATGCGCCCAGTGGGGGCACTTTAAATCACCAATGTAGACCATAGTGCATGAAGGAAAGGCACCTCTTCACACACTATGATTCCTACATTTTGTCAGGCTAAAGTGTATAGTACGAAATACGGTTTTGCAGCACGGCCTCCGGGCAAACATCCAATTTCAGAGGCTTCTCCCTTGTACTGTCCTATACAGTCTACCGTCTCATCGTCAGGGCCTTTTCTCACCAAAAATCAATAATAAAATAAAATAATAAAAATTCTACTTAACCTAAATCTAAATATAACAACTCAAATCTCTAATCTTGAACTTCTGTTATTTGGATCTTCAATCACATTTGCTGCTTGCCATTCTAATTGTCTTTTTTTTTTTTTTTTTTTGCATAAACATATATAACATAAGTCTTGAACTTGCAACCTTGTTCTTCTTTTTGTGTTGCTCTTTTTCTTCATTTTTTTCTTCTTTGTTTTCATTGCTTTTCTTGAATCATCTTTTATAGGCTCTTATTATCTTCACTTTTTCCAATTTTCTTCTTTTTGTGTTTTCTTCTTGTCTTTCTTCTTTGAAGGTCTAAGGAATTTCACCATGTAACATAGGATGGAGGCTAACATGAACACCTAATAATCATTGAAAATGTGCCAAGGTCAACTAAAAAGGGTGGGACATGACTCAAAAATGGGTGTTACCAAAAAAACTTGGTCCCAAAAGATGTGAATTGGGGGACCACTTCAAAGTTCATCAAGCACCTCAATGCAAGGTGTGATAAACAAAATCTATCTAACTATCTACTCTAGACCCCTAGAAAAATGATAACCTATCCTAAAAAGGTGGTGAGAATCTAACTAAGCAAGGCTCGGATGAGACTCGAGAGTACCAAGGGGCACTCCCTCCAAAACCAAGATGCAAGTCTTCAATATCTTCAATGTCTTCAAAATACTTTACCAGGCTAGTCTTTTCTCGCACACATTGGCATGACCAACCACATCCCTCCACACCTAGACCTAATCAAGCTACCTGTATCTGACCTCCACACAAGTGGTCTCAAAGTGGTGTGTGAGGCTCAAAACGTGTCATATTCATCAAATACAAGGAATTCCATATCAAGACCCGAGACTAATCTATGATTCAATACTTATGACTCGGCACTATGGTGTCTGTAGGGATGAGAAGACAAGAGATAACAAAAAGGCATGAACTTAACATAGAATGCATCTAAAAAGTATGACAATTAGAAAAGAAAGAAACAAAATATGCAAATTTTTGAAATTTTTATGCAATTTTTATGAATGACCTAAATGACTTAGTCTGGATGCAACTATCTACAACCCAAATGCAATAAAAACAAAAGATAAGAAATACCTCACCCCAAGCTTAAAATGAAGCATTGTCCTTAATGATTAGGATGAGAGTAAGTAAGGATCGTACTGGTATCAAGGTGGAGGAGGCCCTCGAGGGGGATAACCGCCTTCAGGCTGAAAATGATACCAAAGGTCCTCCATGTAAGTGTTGGTGCGTGCTTGTTGTTCCTCTATGTGGTGGATGGTTGCAGTGTTCCTATTGCCCTGGAGGCGCAAGGAAACAGGTTGGCTGTAAATATCGAGAGGAAACTCGTGTGTGGGGTCAGGCTCATTCTGTTGCGGGTATGAGTGGTAATTATGTTGTGGCTGGAAGTGTTCTCCCGAGGGCTGAGAGTGTGACCCAGAGGCTTGACCTGGATAAGGTGGTGGCAGCTGGTGGATCAGGAGATCATAATGGTCTTCAGCCTCAAATAGGCTATCAGCATTGTTAGGGTCCACCTGCATGTCATCATCTGCTGCTACATCATCATCGTCTACATGTTTCGGGGACATTGGTGGTGAAGGCGGAGATACTTGGATTAGGCAAGATGTAAACTGGGTCGTTGACATGGTTGAGCCAAGAGTAATGTCCAGGAAGAGTAGGATGAAGTAGCAGTAATTCCATCCAGATAAGATTTATGCAATCAAGAAGGTAGGGAGGTGGATCATCCACTGGTACGTATTCAGACTCTGGAAATTGAAGGCCCATACCCAAACCAATGAGGGTAATGAGACCTCCAATACAAATGTCACTAGTGGTCTTTGTCCTGATGTTGTCACATTTGTCTAAAAAGAAGGTGGCGAAATCGGGCAAAGACCAACGTCGACTTGACATGTAGTAGAGAAAATAAAACTCAACGGTGTTCATTTTGATGGGTTTTGGTCATAAGAACATCCTATGTGCTCATACAAACCCTAATGGTTGGATCTAGGTTTCTCTATTGTACATGCAAGTTATCCAAGACTATAAACCCTAATTCATATTAACATAAGAATAGGTTTAAGATCATACCTTGATTGATATGTAGCAATAACAATCCCAAATCTCCTTGTATTGACTTTAGAAAGCTTAGAGTCACAAATGTCACTCCTCTAATGGTTCACAAACACCATAAGCAAGAGGATGAAGAGGAGAGAGGAACCCATAGACTCCTTTAATTAAGGCCTTGGACGATTTCCTTATGGGCTTCCCCATAGAATTCGTCCACTCCTTAATTTAAGACAATCCATAGCCGAAATTGCAATTATCCTATAATTACAATTCCAGTCCCTTAAGTTTAATTAATCTCTTTTAGTCACAAAACTAATTACTAAATAATTATTGACTAATATTAATTAAATAATATGATTTCTCCTTTAATATATTATTCTCATAATATATTAATAAATCATATTTAATCCTTTCTCTCCATAATTCATTCTATCAGGTTGCTTTGGTGAAGGCAACCTAAAAGGACCATGCACCATCGGGTCAAGTACATACCAAAATAGGTATGGACTTAGACACTAATCCAACAGTCTCCCACTTGGATAAGTCTAATAACTATTATGCGTATGATTTCAGATCCTGATCTGCAATCGTAGCTTTCCAAAGCCGTTGTCAACTCTGATCCTATCAGATACGCGTGTTCTTTAGATAAGGGATCATATATTCCTCCATTTTAGATATCGTATGAGATATGATTTCTAATCATTCTCTTTGTACTATATCTTGATTTTCGATTTATGACGACTGACTAATTGAAAAAATCAAATTAGCCCTAGCCCGGCCGAGCATTTACATTTGTTATCACTAAACCATCGAGGGGCCCAAAGATATCGCTTTTATCCTTCTTTGGATAAAAGGAACGGATAAACTTTGATACAATGCTTGCTTGCACTCACTCACCGAATCACACACAACAATATGTTTTATAACACCAAGTTACTAGTGCGTTTACATATTATCAATGTGCAACCGATTAGCAAGATACAACTCACACATCTCGGTTTCAAGAATATAAGATGTTATCGTCTCACCAATCACTCGTGATACAATTCATGGAGTGATCCAAGTGAGCGTGGGTTTAATCCAATGCTCAAATCTTATTCATAAGCACTCATGAATGTTGCAGCAAACATTTACTTATGTCTAATACTCTTTTAGACAATCCACACACCAATTCACGACAATCTTCATTCATGTCTACTTCCAACATATGAACGACTGTGGCCCGTTCGAATAATTTGACTGTTCTAAACCAATTAAATTATTCAGGAAGTCAAAACATGCAAAGTGAAACACAAGAATAATACTAATCCCATATGGCCTCAAACCTTTGAGTATAAATAAAACACCTTTTATTTATCACCATATCGATTACTCATTATTTGTCGTTTCGGGTAATCAACTTCTTACTTGAATTATTACTACACTTGTCGCATGCTCCTAGCATGCACACAATGTTTACCTATGGTTCTTACTTTGTGAAATAGATCAAATTGAACACATTTCCAATCATTCTCATTTCACAACTCCTAATCCTTTTTCATAAGTGTAAGAATATCAAATTCTTGCTACTTATAGAATATGCTAGATTCTAACATTTTATGCAATGATCCTTTCGTAATATCACTACACCAAAGTCACAAAGACTATTGCCAATGAAATTACAAAGTCTTTTATCGAAGATTGTTACAAGCCAACTCCTTAGATATGATGTCTCTCACTCAAAGTACATTCCTTTGAACATCCTTTTGCATAAATGTTTCTAATCTAGACATAGATTTTCAATATTCAATTCCCAATATGGACACACTTCCATATTTTCCATATGACAACTTATTCTTAATAGAATCTTATCTATTCATAATAATGTCGATATGGTCCATCCAATACCATGCTTCCAACTACTCACAAGCAACCAATCCTCGTCGAACTTTGGATTGTCCTTTGATAGTTGTTTAATTATTTAAGTCAAAACCGATTCTAGTCCCTTTTCCCTCTAAATGCACTAGACATTTGGAAAATTTTAGAATGGTTAAATATTAAAGCATTTGCAATCGATCCTATACCCGAAGCATATGGGACACGGTGCATAATGTTTTATTTGCTATGTTCTCAAAATTCGAATTGTGAAGAGGAATGTCGTAATCATAATCGAAATTTTAAGAACACACTATGTACCTTTGACTAAATTTATTAACATTTCTCAACCTAAGCCTTTAGCTTTGAAATGAAGCATAATATTCTCTCCCTTAATTATAGCAAAACAACTTTACAACCCTTACGACTTTGCAAGGTATAACTCTTGTTTTCTATAATTAATATTGCCAACTTGCAATATGTGCCTTAATAATCATACAAGCATAACATTTATGCTCCCACTATCATGATGATTATTATAAAACATAACACTTATGCTCCCACTAGCTTCGACATGTATTCATAAACATCTTAACTTTTAGAAAAATAATACCTATTGAATTTCATAAGTCCATGTTTCTAATACATAATGCTTTGATAATCTTTTATCAAAGCCTCTTAAACTTATACACCTTTTTCCTTAGATGGCTCATATGTGTTTCTAAACAATTAAGACTAGTTGCCAAACCTCACAATTCAAATCATGGAAAGGGATACCGTAACCATAATCAAATTCAAGAATGCTATTTTACAATCACTATCTTCTTAAAATCTTTCTTAGTGAAAGCATTTCCTCACAATCATTTTCATGAAGGAGGAAATCTTATGACACTTAGATTTAAACGGTGTATGTGTTCCTATCCATGTGAATTTGTTAAAACCAAAGTTTACGACAAATTCAAACTCATATGGACTGAACTTTCTTAATCTTGATTTCTTGCCTTATGGTAGCACAACTGCCCACCACATCTTCGAAGTAGTTAAGCAGCTCACCTTTTCCTAACAATGTACCTTTCATTGATCAAGGTGCCTTGCCTTCTATGCGTTCAAAATGAGAACTCATAGAACTCACATGCATAATTAACTCAATTGGAAACAGCACAGAAACAAAATAATGTCAACACGATAGGTTGTAAACCTCAACTCGTGTGCTAGTGATGATCGATAAGGTTTATTTGATTTGTTCTTGAAACCTTTCAAGACCATTAAGACTCCCACTGACTCCTTGACATATAAGATTCTCTTGTCCATAACATTTCTTGACAAACAAATATTCAAGAGTTAGTGTAGTTTTTATCAAAACACTTCATAAATTGGTCCTAGTTGGTCTTTGTCTTATCCAAGACATCACAACTTTCCACATTTGATGAATGTTATAAACCTTCTTAATACTTTCACTCATTGTCACAATCTTAACTTTAAGACTTGTTATTGGAATAAAGTATGATTGACCTTTTGATTTAACCATTTCTTCAATTTTTGACTCCTCTTCTTAAACATACAATTATGCTAAGACTCACTTAGAGGATCAATTGAAATATGGTTCTTAATCATTAAGACCTATCATAAAGCATAAAAGGTACTCTCCCTTCTTCTTAGAATGGAGAAACTTTTATCTTTCTGCCTACTTGATTCTTCTTATTCGTTTTGCTATTGATTTAAACATTTATAATCAATTCCGAATTACACTTAATCTTATAAGTATTATCATATTTACTAAACTTTTAGTAAATCATGACGAATATCTTTGTTACTCTTATGGTGGACTTGATCAACACACAACTTTGTGTGCTCGATCTCCTATTCCTTCACTTGACACTTTGTCAACGAATTAGTCTAATTCCTAAATATGAAATTTCTCATTCATCATCCAACCAAGTTGCATGATTCCAAATTTCTGTCCAATTGAAATTTGGGCGATGAGAAACTCTCCTTATTTGGTAAATTCTCGATTTTTTCCATAAACACCATAAATAAGAATCATATCCATTTGTTGTAGAAATATTCAAACATCAATTTTCATAACGATTTCATTGCAAGGAAGTAAACAAATAAACAAATAAGTCAAACCAAAATTTATTTTATTTATAAAAGCAGCGGAAAACATTTGTCCTTACAATGCAAAATCCATTGAAAACTATGTATTTCAAAAAGAAAATTTCTAACAACTCTATCATAACTATCTAAGCTTACAATCTAATCTTCAAGTTCATGAGATCGAGATCCATTTCTTTGTGATTAGACTCATCTTGGTCTTTTCATCAAGCTTCCTTTCTTTTCACCGATCCTACAAAACATTCAAATGCAATCTTATCACATCATGTATTAAGAATCAACGAATAGGAACTTAATTTAGATTGTGGATTTTACCTGAAGCACAGTCATACTCTTTGACTCTCCCATCTTTGAAATCTTCAGGCTCTTCGGGCAGATTTCTATCCAACGCCCTTTCTCTTGGCAGCAAACGCAGGTCGCTTCTCTTAGAACGTCCTTGGAAGCATGGTCGGTTGACTTTTCCCAACAAAAACGCTCCATTGCTTCGCCAAATCATTTCTGATTTAGCAGCAATGAGCATGTAAGTTAGGTCAATGAGGTTGTCGTCATGATCCATCATATAATACTTTCTTTTGAACTCATTATATGATTCAGGGAGTGACTGCAAAATCCAATTCACAGCCAACTCATCCGGGAATGGCACACCCAACATTATCAACCTATCAATGTGTGATTTATTCCTAGAACGTGGCACACACGGGTTTACCATCTTCATGTTTCATTTCCAATAGGGCTTTAGTGATATTGAACTTTTAAATTCTTCGATCTTGTGGGTTAGGGAGAACAATTGGAGGAGGAAGAAGAAGTGAAGCATGATTTCTTGTGCCTCAATCGAATCGTGGAATATCATCTTCATGTGGAATGCTTGTTCCACG